TAGAGAAGGGCACTTTAGACCGGGTATTGTCAGGCACCAGTGGATCTCCAAACGCTTTACAAAGGAGGTTGGCATCATTATTATTTCACAGATGGAACAACTGAGGCACAGGGCAGGGAAGTAACTCGCCCCAGGGAACCCAGCAGCAGGCCAGTTGCAGAGCTACAGGTGGAATCCAGGAGTCCTGACACTCAGCTCAGTGCTCTATCCACCCACGGGGAAGCATGCAGCAAGTAGCCGGGCTTTTCGGGTAACGCAGCTGCATACCTGACTTGGAAGAAAATCGTACACACAAAACGACTTCCCACCTTCAGAAACAATTCCCTCCAGACGACTCGGCTCTGGTGCACAATATATTAAGAGCCTAAAGCCCAGGATCTTTCTGCACTGAGATAAGACAGGTGCACGTCCCTGGCTGTCAGAACTGCTGCTGGCCAAGACAGACAAAGCCACCAGAGGTTTTTACTCCCCTAGATTCATTTCCCCCTCAGCTATCATTCCCTAGCACAGGGCAAATGAGAGAGTCCAGCCCTGTCACCCCCTAGGCCGAGTTGCCCCATCTGAACGGGCTCTGACCTAGATCAGGATTCCTCTGGCCTAAGCACCGCAGAATCGGAGCACTCCGGCTTGAGTGTGACCCCTGGGAAGGGGGATCTCCACTGCACACACGGGAACCTGAGGCAGGGGGCAGAGTAAGTGACTGGTCTCCGGAGTCCAAGTCCAGAGCCCTAGCCCGCCCTTCCTGTGCTTCAGAGCCAGCTGTAACATCAGCCTGACCTCCGCTAGAGCCAATCCCCTAGGACGGGCAGGCAATGCTTTGGAATGGTCAGGTGCAGCGTAAAGGGGGCAGAATGCAGTGGGGCGGAGGGGTAGTCCCACCACCCAGCTGTAGGGGCAGGAGGAGGGTGACTGGAGCACTGAGTACGCTGGACGGCCTGGGCTCCCAGGCAGCCATGCCAGGCCTGGGTGAGCTAGCACAGCCTGTGGGCTGCTCTCCTTTGTGTAGGGGACCACGCGGGAGCTGACCACAATGAGGGAGTCACAACTGTGACTTCAGGCTGCCATTCCCCTCCCCACCCTGGGTTCATGCAGCAGAGACTCGGGCCCCGGTTCCACACACAGAAATGCCTTGGCTGTTTGGCAAGTGCCACGCGAACTAGCTGGAGCTGACCAGGCTCTCAGAGGGACAAGAACCAGTCCAATCCAAACCAGTTTGGCGCCAGCTTGGATCCACGAGTTCAACCAGCCCTCTCCCCGCTGGCCCTTCTGAAACCTCCCAGAATCCAGCATGCCCAGAGTGTTAGCATGTGGGGAGCAAGCCCACCCCAGGTCTCAGAGCCAGGCAGCCTGGCTAGAGGGACAAACTGGGCTTAAACCGCTTCTGTGGAGTAGCCTCCACAGCCAAGGCTTGGAGAGAACATCAGGGGCAGGCCGCTGGCCCAAGGGGCCCTCTGCTCTTCCTGGTCAGCTGCCTGTGTCCCACTGGCCATGCCCAACTCCCTCCCAGCTCATTCACACAGTCAGAACCAATCAGTCCCATTCCCCCGAAACAGGCCTACACCTGCGCTGGGAACGTCCAGGACAAGGGCTGCTCCTGCCCCAGCTCTCCAGGTTATTTCTAGCCCTGGCAGCTGCAAAGATGACAGACACTGAAATCACACCTTCCTGATTGCAACCTCGAGCCCTATGCCAGGTGGACAGCCCCTCCCGCCTGTGCAGAGTCAAAGGAGCTTCTGGGTGCAGGAAACACAGCTTTCCCCCCCTCCCAAGAACTTTGCTTTGCTCCAATCCCTCCCTCCAACACCCCACATCTCCCGGGGCCAATGGAGGAACATTCCCTACAGTCAAGGCCCTGAGTACTGGGAGAAGCAGGGGGGCTAAGCTGGGCCTAAGGCCTGCAGCAAAGAGTCCAGATCTCTGAGGAGGCAAAGGGGAAGTGACACTGCAGCTCCGGGTGCTTTCGGGGGGCGGGGGAGGGGAATTTTATTAAATCAGAAACTAAGCCTACCACCCCATTCAGCACAGTGACCCCTGGTTTATTTACTACACTGGGATCATTTCACACGGCCCTACACTGCTGCATTTTCAGAATGCTGTGAGGTTTTGCTCCAACCACACACAAGAATGTCACAGAAGTCATCAGTTCCAGAAGTTTGGACAGGAGAGGAAGGAATTTTGCCTTTGAATTTTGCACCATTTAAACTGTAAGAGTCAACATGGTGCACCAAACAGGGGCTGGTTTGCCCCTGTCTGACCTAGCATCCTAGGGCCTCGACAGACTCAGGCCTAAGTTATTCAGTTTTTCCATGTTCTCCCCTGAATGCGAGGTTTTGAGATACTTGTCTCAGAGCAAGCTGCGATGGTGCAGCTGGTTTTTGAGGAGGGGCCCTGCCCTCCCCCACAACTGTCCTGTGTTACAGAGTAGCACCCTGGGCCCCACATGACAGTCACAGCTGCTATCTCAGGAGCCAGCCCCCAGGGTTAATGGTCTGTCCAGATCATACATATCCTCCCCAACAAAAGCTGGAATCCCTCCCCCGGCCCAGACAGAAGGGGAACTCCCACCCAGAGCAGGAGGTAATCAACCCCCACACAGCAAGTGTTACCCTGCATACGCCCCTGCTATCCTCACACCAAGGGGTGATACAGGTCAGGCCCCCCTCCTCCCCCCGAGCCAGGTGCATCAGCCCTGGGGCAACCTCTCCCCTGCCAGAGCCTTACACATCCCAATCCCAGCCACCATGTGTGTAGCAGGGGTACCCAATGGTGGTGCCCATTCACCCCCTACCATTCCCAATGGCAGTGCCCATTCCTCCCCTTCCTCAAATAGCAGTCCCCACTCCTAGATTCCAAGGCCAGAAGGGACCACTGTGATCATCTCATCTGACCTCCTGTACAACACTGGCCATAGAACTTCCTCAAATAATTCCTAGAGCAGATCTTCCAGAAGTCAGCAGTGTGCCCTTGTTGCCAAGAAGGCCAATGGCATTTTGGGATGTATAAGTAGGGGCATAGCGAGCAGATCGAGGGACGTGATCGTTCCCCTCTATTCGACATTGGTGAGGCCTCATCTGGAGTGCTGTGTCCAGTTTTGGGCCCCACACTACAAGAAGGATGTGGATAAATTGGAGAGAGTCCAGCGAAGGGCAACAAAAATGATTAGGGGTCTAGAACACATGAGTTATGAGGAGAGGCTGAGGGAGCTGGGATTGTTTAGCCTGCAGAAGAGAAGAATGAGGGGGGATTTGATAGCTGCTTTCAACTACCTGAAAGGGGGTTCCAAAGAGGATGGCTCTAGACTGTTCTCAATGGTATCAGATGACAGAACGAGGAGTAATGGTCTCAAGTTGCAGTGGGGGAGGTTTAGATTGGATATTAGGAAAAACTTTTTCACTAAGAGGGTGGTGAAACACTGGAATGCGTTACCTAAGGAGGTGGTAGAATCTCCTTCCTTAGAGGTTTTTAAGGTCAGGCTTGACAAAGCCCTGGCTGGAATGATTTAACTGGGAATTGGTCCTGCTTCGAGCAGGGGGTTGGACTAGATGACCTTCAGGGGTCCCTTCCAACCCTGATATTCTGTGATTCTGTGAAAAACATCCAATCTTGACTTAAAAATTATCAGTGATGAAAAATCCACCATGACCTTTGGTAAGTTTTGCCAATGGTTAATTACCCACACTGGTAAATATTTATGCTCTATTTCCATTCTGAATTTGTCTAGCTTCAACTTCCAGCCATTGGATGGTGTTATACTTTTCCCTGCTAGACTAAAGACCCCATTATTAATTATTTGTTCCCTATTTAGATATTTATAGACTGCAATCAGCTCACCACGTAACCAACCATCTCTTTCTTAAGCTAAGCAGATTGAGCTCCTTGAGTCTACCTCTACAAGGCGGGTTTTCTAATTCTTTAATCAGTCTCATAACTCTTCTCTGAGCTCTCTGTCAATTTATCAACATCCTTCTCGAACTGTGGGCACAGACCTGGACACAGGATTCCAGCAATGGTCAGACCAGTGCCAAAGACAGAAGTAAAATAACCTCTCTGCTTCGACTCAAGATTCCCCTATTTACGTATCCCAGGGTTGCATTAGCCATTGGGGCCACAGCGTAGCATTGGGAGCTCACATTCAGCTAATTATCCACCATCACCGCCAAATCTTTTTCCAGTTACTGCTTCCCAGGATAGTCCCCCATCCCGTAAGTATGGCCTACAGTTTTTGTTCCCAAATGTATACCTTTACAGTTAGCTGTATTAAAATGCATACTGTTTGCATGCACCCAGTTTACCAAGCAATCCAGATCACTTTGAATTAATGACCTGTCCTCTTCATTATTTACCACTTCCCCAGTCTTTGCGTCATCTGCAAACTTCATAAGTGATGATTTTATGTTTTCTTTCAGGACACTGATAAAAATGTTAATTAGCACGGGCCAAGAACCGACATAGGAAGACCCCACTGGAAAAACACCCACTTGATGACAATTCCCCATTTACCATTACATTTTGCGATCTATCAGTTAGCCAGTTTTTAATTCATTTGGCATGTGCCATGTTAATTTTATATCATTCTAGTTTTTTAATCAAAATGTCATGCGGTACCAAGTCAAACATCTTACAGAAGTCTAAGTACATTACATCACCACTCTTACCTTTCTCCCCCATACCCCACAAAGGCGGGGCCCATTCTGCCCCCGCTTCTCCCAGTGGCAGAGCCCATTCCTCCCCCCACCCCAACAACAGCGCCCAACCCCCATCTTCCCCCCTGGCAGTGCCCAACACCACCCTGTCCCCCAACAATGGAGCCCGTCCCCCCCAACAGCAGAACCCAATCCCCATCCCCCAACAGTTGAGTTCATCCCCATCCCCCACACTGGAAGGGCCCATCCTTCCCCCATCCCCCACACTGGCTGGCAGTGCCCATCCCCCACGCTGGCAGTGCCCACCCCCCTGGTCCGACCCCACTTCTCCCCCCGCCGGCCGGAGCCCGCTCCTACCAGGATCAGCGCCTCCATCTTGGCCTCAACGATGCTGCCGACGTGGAGCAGGAGCGTCAAGGGCCGCGCGCCGTTGGTTGGTCGCCTGCCAATCGGAGCTCCAGACCCCGCCCTCTCCCCATTGTGGCCGTTCATTGGCTAACCTGTCTCTCACATTCAGCCAACCAGAAATTCGATTCCAATGACTGGGCGTGGCCCAGAAAGCCCCGCCCCTCAGCCTTCGTAGCTAGTGGTCGGTGATTCGAAGGCGCCTTCTCGGTCGCTAAGTCCCCGCCTCCCGGGCTGGGGTGGAGGGGGGCAGCGTGGAAGGGCGGGATAGTTCCCATGGCGACCAGTGAAGCGGTGACGTAATGCGTCTCTCCAGCCCTGTGCAGTGGCTGGCGGGATCACATGTCACATGACCGGAAGGAGTCTTTATCCTCTCTGTGTGGGCCCCCCTCGGCGTGGGGTCATGACCCTAACCCGGGCACCCTGAGCTCTCCGGGGTCGTGACCTTGAGGGCGGGGGGGGGCAGCCATGCTGGCTCCCATGGGGCTTCCTTGGTGGGCGGGGCCTGCAAACCCCACCCCTCTATCCATGCAGGCTATCAGCTCCTGGGTGGGACACGCCCTCAGCCGGCCCCCTGCGGCGACCTCCACACATCACTTCCCCACCCCATGCCTCAGTTTCCCCGTTTGCGCAATGGGGTGATGGGACCGACCTCCGGTAACAGGCATTGTGATCTGCCGAGCAGGGCAGTAGGTAACACCTCTTCCTCCTAAGCCCTGGTTTCATGCCCCTTAGATGGCCTTAAATCTAGGGTGACCATATTTCCCAGTGGGAAGATGGGACACAGTGCAGGGCTGGCCCAAGCCCCTACACAAGGCTGGGGTCACCGCTCACCCAACCCCGACCTCCCCACTTGCTCAAGCCCTGCCCCCGCGTGGGGCCGGCATTACCACTCCACCCCCCATGTTCCTCCACACCACACCCCACTTTTCTGACAAAAGTCAGTCTTTATCCCATTTGTTTTCACCAACTGATTAAGTCACCACAAGAAAATGGGACAAATGCCCACTTTTGCCAAAAAACTTGGGACGGCCAGGACATGGCTTAAAAAAGGGACTGTCCATGCCAAAACATGACGTATGGTCTGCTAAAATCTGAGGGCGAGTGTGCGTAAAACCCCGACTATGTGCTAACCCCAGTCCTAGGACCTGCTGCAGTTTGGCCCAAGATGGGGAGTGTTAGGGCCTGCAGCTGTGATGCACCAGCATCGAATGCTGCCAGGGGAGAGAGACACCCAATGAGAGGGCAGCTCGGGAGGTTGAGTGGCTTGGCCTCTGGCAGGGAGGAGGCAGTTGGAAGGTGGTTAAAAAAGAAGGAGGTAAAAAGAACTGTGCATGTTTGTCTCCCTCACCTGGAAACCCAACTCATACCTGGCTTAGGCCAGGCTAGGGATGCTTGCCTACGCATGCTCTGATCACAGCAGGTGCAGGGTGGTGAGAGATCAAGCCACACCATAGTTAAACACCTGGGAAGAACAAACTCCCACACAACGTTCCTCAAAGGAGGTTGCCATTGTTTGCAGTAGCCAAGAGCTCGTCCTGCCCACCGTTGGGCTCCATGTGCAAAATGCAGCACAGCCCTGCTATTGACAGCGTGAAGCGAAAGAGAAAGCAGGGCAAGGCAGAGGCTGAGCCAAGGTCATTTTTGTGTTGTCCAGCAGATGCAAATCCTGGTGGTACAAATATTTACTCCTTTAAGGGAGTCCTGAGAGTGGGGGAGGGAGAAGCAGGACTCCTGGTTTCTATCAATGGCTCTGGGTAGGATGTGAGGTATAATGGGTTAAAGTGGGGCAGGGAATCAGGATTCTTGGGTTCAGTTACCTACTTTACAGCTGTTCATATGCAGTAAGGGTTCCACTCCCAGTGCTGCCCCCCAACCTGCTGTGGATAGGGTTGCAAGCTGTCCAGTTTTCAACCAGAACACCTAGGTGAAAAGGGACCCTGGTGGCTCTCATCAGCACTGCTGACAGGGCTGTAAAAGTCTGGTTAGCGGCACAGCCGGAGCCTACACCCCGCCACACGCACACTCCAAACCACTCAGTCCCAGTATGGAGCCCCCTTCTGCACCCCAAACCCCTCATCCCTGGCCCCACCCCAGAGCCTGCACTCCCAGCCAGAGCCTGCACCCCCTCCCACATTCTGAACCCCTCAGCCACAGCCCAGAGACCCCTCCTGCACCACAAACCCCTCATCCCTGGCCCCACCCCAGAGCCCACACCCCCAGCCGAAGCCCTCAACCCCCATGTGCCCCAACCCCCTGCCCCATCCTAGATCCCTCTCCTGCATCCCTCATTTCTAGCCCCACCTGGAGCCCAAACCCCCACCCCAGAGCCCAGAACCCCCCACACCACACCACACCCCAACCCATTACCCCAGAGCCACCTCCTGCACCCCAAACTCCTCATTCCCAGCCTCGCCCAGAGCCCTCACCCACCTCCTGCACCCAAATCTCCTACTTCAGCCTGATGACAGGAAGGGAGAGAGCAAACAACCCATGGAGGGAGGGGGGATAAAGCAATCAGGGGCGGGGCCTCAGAGAAGGGGCGGGGCCGGCATGTTCAGTTTTGTGGGATTAGAAAGATGACAACCCTAGTGGTGGGGCTTTGGGCCAAGCCCTGAGCTACTTCTCTCCCTGAAATCCAGAGGGGGTGAGAGGCTTAGAACAGGAGTTAGGGGGAAGCCCCAGCCCCCCCTTTTCTGTGCCTGCAGGTGGCATGCTGAGGGGTTGGTGGGAGAGAGCCCTATGACTCAGCGGGGCCAGCAAAGCAAAAGCAAAAGTAAGAGTCTGCAACTACAACACTCCAGCAGAGGAGGTGAGAGGTGGGGCTGGGGGATCAGCGCACCCCAAGGGGGGAGGAGGAAATGTTCTGTCTGCCCCGGGGACCCAGGCCCATGTCTCCCACCCTCCCCCCCCGTCCTGCCCAGGGTCAATGCCATGAGGCTGCTGAGAGGGATGGGGCACTCTGTCTCCCTTAGGAGCCTGACAACTGGGCAGTGCTGCCTCTGTGGCTGTGTACCCCCTGGCCTCCCCTCTGTGGGCCCAGTTGGGATCTGCAGGGGCTTCCTTGGTCTCTGGGGGACTCGGCTTCGTGGGAGGGGCTGCTGATTGGAGACTCGGTGTAGTTCTCCAATATAATAAGGGGGGGGGGTGCTGTAGCTCCCATTGCAAACTGGTGGGACTGCAGCAGGCCAAGGTATTGAGGCTAGTCGAGTGGGCTGGGGTTCCTCTCCCAGCTCTGCCACTGACCTGCTGGGCAAGTCCCTGCATTGGCCCAGAGCCTCAGTTTCCCCATCTGTAGACTGGGGATGACACCCCTATACACACACCCCAATGCTGGGGTGCTCTAGAGCTGGGGCCGGCTGTTGCCAACACTGATGCGCCTCCCGCCCCGCCCGTAGCGATTCTCTGACCCCGGGGGTAGCATCCCCTTTAAGATCCTTGCTCTTCCTTCCAGCACCAGTGCCCCTCCAACCAATGGCACCCAGATGCCCCCCGATATCCCAAATCCCAGGCTCAGTCTGCCCCGAGCCCTGGCCTGGCTTCCCATCAGGTCCCATCTCTGCCCTGACTTCCGCCCCCTCGTCCTGCCTTAGGGCCTGATCAAGATGGCAGAGAAGCCCAAGCGCCCACATCTGGGATTGGCTCAGTACCCCCTGCTGCTCACACTGGAGCCCGAGGGGCATGGCCTGGGCGGGCAGGTCCTGGAGTTGGCTGGTCCAGAGGAGGTCCATGTCCACCAGAAAGACGGCATCCTGATCTGCGACAGCTTCCTGCTGGGGCAGTGTCTGGAGCGGGAGCGCTGCCCACGCCACCACACCCCCAACCCCTTCCACTGGCAGATGCGGCGCCAGGCAGATGGGGTGTGGCTGAGCATTGGCACGTCAGCCCAGCAGCACCTGGAGAACCTCTACTGCAGCACCAGCCACCACAGCGTGGAGCTCGTGGACAAGTACGTGGCTGATTGGACGTGGCCCAGCAGGGGGTGCCGTGGGGAGCGGGGCGGGAGCGCTGGCTGTGAGAGGAGCTCCCGGGTGCTCCAGTCCCAGCCCCCTACCAGGAGAATCATAGAATATCAGGGTTGGAAGGGACCTCAGGAGGTCATCTAGTCCAACCCCCTGCTCAAAGCAGGACCAATCCCCAACTAAATCATCCCAGCCAGGGCTTTGTCAAGCCTGACCTTAAAAACTTCTAAGGAAGGAGATTCCACCACCTCCCTAGGTAACCCATTCCAGAGCATTGGCTGAGGACAGAGGGAGAGAGGGAGGCATCGCCCAGCTACTCACTGCCAGCATGGGGGGGCGTTGCCTGTGGTTCCTGCCCCTTGGTGACTTCTCCGCTGCCCCCGCTTCCAGGGCCGGCTTATCCTGGACCCTCAACCTGGACTCCATGGACCTGAAGCCCACCCAGCTTTATGACCGCGTCCGGCGCCTCTCCAACAGCGGCGACCCCAGCCGCAGCCCCTACTTCCCCGCGGAGTGGCAGGTGTACTGGGAGGAGTGGGGCGAGTGGCTCATGTACGAGGAGGTGAGGGAAGGGAGGTGATCCCAGGAGAGCAGCGGGTGTGGGGGATGCAGGGGGAGAGAAATGGAAAGCTAGGCCTGGATGGTCCGGGGTGAAGAGCAGTGTGGCTGGGGGGACCTGGGGTGCCCGAGGAGGGGCAGGGGTTGCTGGGAGAGGGGCTGTGTGGCTGGGGGTGACATAGCTGAGGAGGGGGAGGGGTGGCCAGGGGAGCAGCATGGCTGGGAAGGGGAAGGGGCTGTGTGGCTGGAGGTGTGGCCTGGCTGGGTGGGTGGGTGGGGGATGGGCATGGTTGGGTGGGCTGTGTGGCTGGGGTAGCTGAGGAGGGTTGTGGCACTGCATGGCTGGGAGGGGCTGTGTGGCTGGGGTAGCTGAGGGGTGGCCAGGGGAGCAGCATGGCTGGGAAGGGGAAGGGGCTGTGTGGCTGGAGGTGTGGCCTGGCTGGGTGGGTGGGTGGGGGATGGGCATAGTTGGGTGGGCTGTGTGGCTGGGGTAGCTGAGGAGGGTTGTGGCACTGCATGGCTGGGAGGGGCTGTGTGGCTGGGGTAGCTGAGGGGTGGCCAGGGGAGCAGCATGGTTGGGAAGGGGGAGGGGCTGTGTGGCTGGAGGTGTGGCCTGGCTGGGTGGGTAGGGGAGGGGCATGGTTGGGGGGGCTGTGTGGCTGGGGTATCGGAGGAGGGTTGTAGCACTGCATGGCTGGGGGAGTGGCGTGGTTTGGGGAGGGGCTGCGTGGCTGGGGGAGTGGCGTGGTTTGGGGAGGGGCTGCGTGGCTGGGGGAGTGGTGTAGCGAAGGAAGTGGCGGTGCTGCATGGCTGGGGAGCATCGAGGCCGGGAGTGGGTGCGTGGCTGGGAGGAATGTGGCTGAGGGGTGTCCCATGATGGCGTCTCTCTGTGCCCAGCCGGTGCGATGGGAGCTGCTGGCGGCCTTCGAGAAGGGCATGTGGAACCATGCCTTTGAGCTGCGTGGCCAGCTGTACAATGTGGACCTGAAGAAAATGACCCAGCGCAATGTGCGTACGGGCTTCACCCGGCGCGTCCTGCGCCGCCCAATCTTCCGCCCATCCTGGCGCCTGGCGCCCCACCTGCGGTGAGTGCTCTGGCCAGGTGCCATCCCTGCCCCTGGGCACCCAAGAGGCTCCCGCCACTAGCCATGCCCTTGTGTGTCTTCTCTTGGCAGGACAGGCCCAGGCGCCACCCTCTCTTCCCCCAGCGCCATCCCTGGGGAGGACCCCCAGGGCACCTACTGGGGCCCATACCCTGCGTCCTGGGTCCCCAAGGCCCCAGTGGGCACCATGTACACGCTTGCAGAAGTGGCACCAGCAGAGAGGGCCTATGAGACCACATGCACGCTGTTCCACAAAACTCTGGCAGAGGACAAGGCTCTGGTGCTGGCCGTCTACCGGGTCCGGAATGACCACCTGTGGCAGAAATACTGTGGGTAAGTAGGGCAGACATGGGGCTGGGCTGGGCATGGGGGGCTGCTAGTGGGTTCTGGACTTTCCCTTGGTGCCCTCTGGCTGCTGCCACAGGGCTGCGATGGCGGCTGGAACTGTAGCGCAAGTGCACTAATCCTGGGGCGTGGTTCCCCCTGGGCTGGGAATGGGAATCGCCCAAAGGCTGGTGTTTTGTGGTCTTGGTCCCCATGCTCTGGGTCGTGGATGCAGCTGGGCTGGAGCCACGAACCCACCTGGGGCACCCTGCCCGTCCCTAGCCAGCTGGCGATCCCAGCTTCTTACTGTGGTGACTCCTGGCTGCTCTTGGTGCCTGACCCATCATATCCAAGCCTGGGGCAATGCACCAAGGAAGCGGGTGGGTGGGGCTCCAGATTGTCAGTGACCCCCTCCCCCCCAATCTGTCCCACCCTCCAGCCAGAAGAAGTTCATGGCCCAGATCCGTCCCTGTGCGTCACGGTGCTTCCTGGAGAGACACCTCTTCCACGGCACCATGGCCAGCAAAGTGCAGCCTATCTGCGAGATGAACTTTGACCCCCGGGTGTCAGGGGAGAACGGTGAGGCTTACGGGCAGGGCAGCTACTTCGCCACCGACGCCTCCTACTCCCACACTTACGCCAAGCTGGGCGAGGACAGCCTGTGCCACATGTTCCTGGCCAAGGTTCTGGTGGGGCGTTGGGCGCGGGGCAAGCCCAGGTTCCGGCGTCCCCCACCAGCACACGACGGCCGCCTGTACGACTCCTGCACGGACTGCGCTAAGAAGCCACAGATCTTCGTCATCTTTGACAGCTGCCAGTGCTACCCCTACTTCCTGATCCGCTACAAACTGCTCTCCGAGCCCGTAGCCGTGGACTCGTGATGGGGACTACTGGGGGTCAGAGGTCAGGTTGACAACTTTGTACTTCAAAAATAAGGGACGGTTTTCTTAGCCCCACCCCTCCTCCTGAGATTATTATTACTATTAACAATACTAAGAAGGACTCACCTACATTCACCAGGGGGATTTCTGCTGCTTTTAGCAGCACTCAGTGACTCCCAGTCTTGCCGTACAGAGATGGAAAAAATAAGGGATGGCCCTTATAATAAGGGACTGTCGGCAACCCTAGTCACAGGTGAAGAGGGCAGCTTGCTCCCAGGGGGTGGGAGTGTGTGGAAGACCCTGAGTCCCTCACCCCACCCTTGGCACTGACTGGAATAGAGCTTGGTGCTGCCACCCTGGGCCCTGGCGCCCCAGGTTGGAGGGAGGAGTCAGGGCCGTGCGGGGTCAATCACATTGTCTTTCCGCTCTCAGCGGGCAGTTGGCACCATGGGCCTGACGCAGGCCTGCCGTCAGATCCTGCTGCCCAGAATGGCTCGGCCTGCTCCCCCGGCACCAGGGACGGGGAGAAAGTCACTGAGGAGCCATTGTCCAGGGTCACTCCTGACCTGCACCCACCCCCCAGGCCCTGCGAACTCCCCGACTCCATGTGCCCCATGGCCGTGGGCACCGGGGTGCTTGCGAGCCTTCCCTCTGGAGAAACATGGGGTTTACCCCAATATTTATCCCAGCAGTGCACTGCCCACAGTCTGGGAGAGGGGGGTTGTGTGATGTTGGGGGGGGATCTGTCACAGACTCCAGTCATCAGCCCCCCATTGCCCCCTGTTGCTGCTGGGCTGAGGAGGTCCAATCCATGGGCTGGTGTCAGGCTGGTACCTCCTGTGAAGCTGGCCCAGCTCCCACCCTCTCAGCCATCTCCCCCCACAGCCCTGCCTCTGCCAGATTCCTGGTGGGAAGTAAGCACCGCTGCGGCCACATCTCTGGGGTCCTCTGCTGTCAGGGGGATGGGCCTAGGTCCAAGTCGTCCCTCTACCCCCAGGCCCAGGCAGCTGGGGTGTTGCTGCTTCCTGCCTAAGCCCTGCAGCAAAGTCCCCTCTCCTTCCCCGCCCCCATCCCCACAGCCCAGATCATTCCCTGCCCCCTGAGCGACAGGTGCTGGTCCCCCTGGTCCTGGTGTGTCAAGGGAAGAGTTTTGGGCTGCATCACTGGGGTCAGGAGGGGCGGCACGGCTGGGGGAATCCCCTTTCCCAGCACTGCCTCTGTTTCCTGAGCATCAGTCAGGGAGGTTGCCATAGGGATGCAGGGGGCCCTGGGTGAGGGCGATGGAGGGCCCAGAGGAGGAAGCAGGGAGCTGTGGGTTTGACACCAGCTGTCCCAGGTGGTGGGGCTGGAGCTGCCGGGGTCTAGGGCCTGGCTCGCTCACAGAGAGACTTCCCACAGCCCCCAAACCACCCTGCAATTGTCGCTAACCAGGCTCCCACCCCCAGCTGGCAGCCTTGTGGGGGGGCAAACAGCCCCAGAGACTGAGCCCTGCGGGGTGGCAGGGACCCTCAGGTGTCAGCTCTGCCCCCTTGTCCCCCTTGTTACCAGCTTTGCCCGTTACTTTTGGGTATGCTCATTTATTAGGGTTACTCTTCGGGGGGAGTGGGGGGTTTATACTTCTATCAATGTACTGCTTGTGTCACTTGTGTTCTCATATGGAGCTCTGCTTCTCCCTGCTGCAAGTCCCTCCAAATGGAGCTACCCTGCAGGACCTAGGTTCCCCAGGGCTGGGTCCCTCCAGCCCCAGAATCAGACGAACACACACACACAGTAAGAGAGAACATCTGAGAGGACCGGGTTAATCAGCACACCCAAGCTGACCCCTTATATGTCCCTGGGCTCAGTGGGCTGGGTCAAGCAGTATTTCCAAGCTGTCACCCACATATGGCCTTGGACTCAGCAGGTTGGGTTAAACAGCACCTCCAGGCTGCCACCCTCCTATGCCATGGGCACCGCACTGGATCAGAGTGCGCCTGAGCATATGGGATCTTTTGAGCAGGATTTTTGGGCATTGTAGGGATCTTTTAGCTTAGGTACGAGGAGCGTTGCTGCAGAGCAAATGAGGAAACCAAAAAACACTAACGAGTTGGGGGGGGAGAGAGAGAGAGAAGCAACCAGCTTCATCATGAAATGTATTTATTGCCAGGTAGTAACCAAAGAGGAGCCAAACAAACAAAGCAGTTATAATATTAAATCTAACTTAAATTTAATTATAAAAGTCAGGTTTACAAACCTATAACTGATCACAGGGTCAGAAGGCTATACCGAGAGAGAGAGAGAGCTGGGTTCTCATCACTCCGTGACGTTCGAACCAGTCGGGGTTCCCAGGTGGTGGTGGTAGCTGAGGGTCCAGAGTTCTGGAGACAGGCAGAGCCCCCAGCACGATCAGTCAGGAGAAGATGAAGCCCCAGTGGAACTGATGCAGATTTTGGATCCAGGCATCAGAGGACTTACTTGAGCATGGATTCACCAAGGGAAGGTCATGCCTGACTAATCTAATTGCCTTCTATGATGAGATTACTGGTTCTGTGGATGAAGGGAAAGCAGTGGATGTATTGTTTCTTGACTTTAGCAAAGCTTTTGACACGGTCTCCCACAGTATTCTTGTCAGCAAGTTAAGGAAGTATGGGCTGGATGAATGCACTATAAGGTGGGTAGAAAGCTGTCTAGATTGTCGGGCTCAACGGGTAGTGATCAACGGCTCCATGTCTAGTTGGCAGCCGGTATCAAGTGGAGTGCCCCAAGGGTCGGTCCTGGGGCCGGTTTTGTTCAATATCTTCATAAATGATCTGGAGGATGGTGTGGATTGCACTCTCAGCAAATTTGCGGATGATACTAAACTGGGAGGAGTGGTAGATACGCTGGTGGGGAGGGATAGGATACAGAAGGACCTAGACAAATTGGAGGATTGGGCCAAAAGAAATCTGATGAGGTTCAATAAGGATAAGTGCAGGGTCCTGCACTTAGGATGGAAGAACCCAATGCACAGCTACAGACTAGGGACCGAATGGCTAGGCAGCAGTTCTGCGGAAAAGGACCTAGGGGTGACAGTGGACGAGAAGCTGGATATGAGTCAGCAGTGTGCCCTTGTTGCCAAGAAGGCCAATGGCATTTTGGGATGTATAAGTAGGGGCATAGCGAGCAGATCGAGGGACGTGATCGTTCCCCTCTATTCGACATTGGTGAGGCCTCATCTGGAGTACTGTGTCCAGTTTTGGGCCCCACACTACAAGAAGGATGTGGAAAAATTGGAAAGAGTCCAGTGGAGGGCAACAAAAATGATTAGGGGTCTAGAACACATGACTTATGAGGAGAGGCTGAGGGAGCTGGGATTGTTTAGCCTGCAGAAGAGAAGAATGAGGGGGGATTTGATAGCTGCTTTCAACTACCTGAAAGGGGGTTCCAAAGAGGATGGCTCTAGACTGTTCTCAATGGTAGCAGATGACAGAACGAGGAGTAATGGTCTCAAGTTGCAGTGGGGGAGGTTTAGATTGGATATTAGGAAAAACTTTTTCACTAAGAGGGTGGTGAAACACTGGAATGCGTTACCTAGGGAGGTGGTAGAATCTCCTTCCTTAGAGGTTTTTAAGGTCAGGCTTGACAAAGCCCTGGCTGGGATGATTTAACTGGGAATTGGTCCTGCTTCGAGCAGGGGGTTGGACTAGATGACCTTCAGGGGTCCCTTCCAACCCTGATATTCTCTGATTCTATTCTATGATTCTATGGGTAGGGTTTTTTGTAGAGAAACAACAATGGTTCAAGGGAGAACACTAGATTTGTGTATATGTAAACAAGGGAGTATACCAAAGTTGTTTTGTTGAAGCTAGACAATAGGAACTGATCATTCCTGGCTATGGGCTGTGTTCCTTGGAGGGAGCTCACAATACAATTAGGGAGCTTCACTGTTTTGGATACCAATAAAGGATTTATTACTAGAATTGGTCTGATAACAACTGAGCTGGGTGTGTGCAGGCATGGGTTCATTAACATCTGGAGCAGAGATCTTCCTTCATGCAGTGCTTCCCTGTAGTCCTCGCCTTGGAATCTCTGTTCCCTGTTCTGTATGCTAATGGAGATACCTCCTTGTCCTATCTTCCATTCAAATGAGGCTAGGGGAGTTTCCTTAATCCTGTCATCCTTATCCCAGGGGTTTAGGTGTGTCTCTCACTGCCTTTTCATTGCCTTTTGTAAGTCTTCTGATTGGTTTTTGTTCAAATAGAGGCTGGGGTGGGGAAGGTCTTCTGTGAGTCAGACAGGCTGGGTACTGTGCCCTGGTTCCCCAAAAACACAGAGCTGCTAGGTAACAAGTCCCTCCGTTGATGGGGTGCTCGCGCTGAAGGAGTATCCCCATCACAGCCTTACTCCGTGATACCGGGTCTGATCTTCCATCCATTGCAGCTGCCGCATCAGTCGCTGGATCCAGCAAACCAGTAGAACCAGATAACTTGCTAGTATAATTTGGAAATCGATTATCACCACAATGGGGTGAAGCATGATATTTAAAAGACCTGTTGCACTGGGGCTCCACCCAAGCAGTCTTCCACCAGGAGTGATGGCCTGTGTTTTTAACTGTAGCGGCTAGCCTAGAGATCGCCTGGTTGTGGTGCTGAATCTCGAGTTTGCCTTTCTCCCCCAAAGTTCAGAGCTTCTGCAGCTCAGTTTGTAAGGAGCGATGAGTTAATAGTCCCTTACTGGCAGTGAGACCCATTCCCAGTGAAATGGGGGAAACCTCTTTGTAGAGCTCAGGAGAGGCATTTAAATGTTATACAGTCCATATAGGCACAGTAAACTTAATATCACAGCTAACAATAGTGGTTACATTACAGAAACAGCGGTTAACGTAAGGCACCATGGATTGAATCCAATGCCCATTAATCAATACAATATTACATCTCATTCTTACACACATACATGCTTTTCCAACATAGATAATAACAGACCCCTCTTCCTTGATAACATGGAAGGAACAGGTTTCAGAGTAGCAGCTGTGTCAGTCTGTATCTGCAAAAAGAAAAGGAGTATTTGTGGCACCTTAGAGACTAACAAATTTATTTGAGCATAAGCGTTAGTGAGCTACAGCTCACTTCATC